GGGGTCAGGATTTCAGGCCAGGATTTCAGATGCAGAGTCAGGTTTTTGGATGTGGGGTAAGGTTTTGGGTCAGGGTTTTGGATGCAGGGTCAGGATTTTGGATGCTGGGGCAGGTTTTGGATGCGGGGTCAGGTTTTTGGATTGCCTCTCGCTCTCTGCTCCCACCTCCGAAGCCGCGCAGGGCAGGGTTCGTTATCCGCAGGCGTTCGAGGTTCGTTATCCCCGGCCCTCGAATGGCAACGGTGCAGCCCCAAAAAGCCAAACTCTGCTCGCTGGGTGTCCACTGCTCCGATTTTCACCCCACACCGGGCCCTCGTGGCTCATTTTGGGGTCGCACTCATCCCCCTCGTGGTCTCTCATCTGCTTCTTGGAAAAACACCCCCTTCCCCAGAGGCTCTGGCTCCCGTCTTCGCTTGGTGTTTAAATTTAAGAGAGGGGCCGCCAAGGGAAGGGAGGTGGTTTTCTGCAGGCCGAAATGTCTCTGTAACCTTCTTTTCCCTAAATGCACGGGGAAAACGGGCACCGGGATTTGGAAAGGCCTTGGTGCGGCTGTGCACACTCTGCGAGGGCCCTCTTGATTTTTGGGTGGTGATCGGTTTGTGCCGGGGCCCAACTAAGGACAAGGGAAAGGCACAAAAAAACGCCCGAAGGAGGGACAATAAAGCTGCATCCCACGAGGCCTGGGGAGAAGAGCAGTCCACGAAGGTCCGTACCAACCTGGAGGGGTTCCCCAGTCCCAAAATCTCCCACGGGACGGATGGATGCACGGGGATACTCACGGAAATGCTCCTCGATCATCCGCACCGTGGCCGTGTCGTCGCTTTCCACCATGCTGAAGGCGATGCCCCTCTTGCCGAAGCGGCCGGCGCGCCCGATGCGGTGCAGGTAGGTCTCGAAATCCGGCCAGCCCTTCTTGTTGGTGGGCAGGGTGAAGTTCACAACGATGCTCACCTGCTCCACGTCGATCCCTGAGAAAACCCCCAAAAATAAGAGGAGAAAAAGGGGCTGTGGCACGGGAGGGGAGAAAAGCAGGGGTTTTTGGGGGCCCACCTCTGGCACAGACGTTGGTGGCGATGAGGACCTTCTCCTTGCCCATCCGAAAGCGCTGGATGATGTCCGCGCGCTGGGAGACCGTCAGCTCCGCCGTCAGGATGGCGACCTGGTGCCTGTCCTGGGTCATCTGCATCGCCAGCCAGGCCGCGCTGCGCCGCGTCTGCGGGGGGCACAGCTCGGCATCCCCCCGAAACGCTCCCCAATCCTCCTGGGGCCGCACCTCGCCGTGTTTCGGGTGATCCCCTGATCTGTGGTGAGCCAGCCTGCCCGCCTCCCCTGGCAGAAGATCATGGCCTGGCTGATGGTGATGCTGCCGTAGAGGTTGCAGAGGGCCCTGTACTTCTCCTGGCAGACGAAGAAGTACTGCTCGACGTTGCTGAGCGCCAGCTCCTCCTCGCGCAGCTTGATGACGAAGGGCTCCGACACGATCTGCATGGCGAAAGCCCGCACCACCTCTGTGAAGGTGGCCGAGAACAGCAGCATCTGGCAGCTTTTGGGTAGAGCCCTGGGGTGGGGAGAGAAAAATGGGGCTCAGGAGAGCGGCCTGGGGTTGTCACAAGGGGAAAAAAAGGCGATTTAAGGTGATTCTGTGGCGCCTTCGACAGAATGAGAGCCAAACCCAAAGGATGCACTGGAACCATTTCCCCTTGGACATCACAGGGCTGCGGATTCCCAAAAAAAGGGTGAAAAACATGGAAGTGGGACGCCAGGAAGGCTCACCTCTGGATGCGAATGCTCTGGTCGGACAGGCCCTGCGTGTGGATCATGATGTCGGCCTCATCCAGCACCAACATAGCGATCCTCTTCACGTCCACCAGCTTCCTCTTGAAGCACCAGTCCTGCATCGTCCCCGGGGTCCCGATGACGATCTGCTCCGCCAGCGCCGTGCCCTGCGGGACTGCGCCAAGGGGACGGTGGCAGCTCCCGGTGGCGCGGGGCGCGGAGAGGATCCCCTCGGCGGGACCGGACTCACCTTGGTTTCCCCGGATGGCGTAGGTCACCTTGATATTGGGGCAAAACTGCCCGATGGACTCGATCACCTGCCCGATCTGCAGGGCCAGCTCGTAGGTGGGAGCCAAGCAGAGGCACTGGGGGACGAGAAGAGAGATGTCAGGAGAGAAAGCGCCTCTACGAAAAGCCCAGGGGCAAACAGCGGTGGATTTGGTAGGGGATAAAAGAGCACAGGGAAACCCCACGTTGCTAAAATGCGCAGAGGGATCGGGGATTCGGAGGGCAGGGAGTTGGGGACGCAGCACAGCTCGAGGGATGCAGCAGAAAGGAGTTGCTGGAGCTGCTTCTGAGGCGGAAATTTGCCCAGCTTTCAAGTGGCCGCTTAAATCCCCCCCCCCACCGGGG